GCGTGATTCCTGGCACTTAATAAATAGAGTTGAATAAACTGACATATCTCAGACTGAGTGATATATACAAAATATCAAATCCAATAATGGGGGTGCTGATTATTTCTGTGAGATGAAATTATCAAGAATTGTGAATTCCTGCATTCAGATTCAGGAAGTTGGGTTCCTGTCCAGGCTGGGAGAATGTGGGTCACTGTGAGAACTGTCTGGAGTGTCAGCAGCCAACAAGCTCAGTGATGATGTGGCCACCAAAGAACTTTCTGGGAGGGGGGTGGGGAGCCTGATACACTTTCAGACCGAGCAGGTGGGAGCTTGCTGCCCAGAACTTTCTTCTGTAATTTGTCCTGTGAAGCCCTATTTGGAGCATCGTGTTAGCTTGGAGCACCAAACTTTGGCAAAAGAGTCTAAAACCTGCATTAAAGGGAGAACAGTCAGAGGTCCTGGGGCCACCATCCAGCAGGAAAGCCATCAGAGAACAACTCCGTGAGCCTCTAGATGGCGGCACAAAGGACAGAGTGGCTCTTAGAGGTGGGCTAGTGTCCAAGGAGAGAACTTTCTAAACACTAGAAACTTCCAGAAATGGATTGTGCTGCTGCATTAATGGAAATAGACACTTTCAGCTGCAAGTGACAGAAAACCCAACTCAAACTGCTCTAAGTTAAAAAGAAAAAAAAAGCCAGGGGTGATTTATTGGCTAATAGCACTGAAAAGTCCAGGAATAGGGTCTAGCTCCAGGCAGAGCTGGATCCAGGGATCAAAGGATGTCCTCAGGACTCCGCTGGTACGCTCCACTCTGAACTTTGCCTTCCTCCACATTGGTCCTTTCTCAGCTTCCACTCCTAAGGGCAGCAGATGGTCACCAGCAGCTCTAGGTAGACATTCTGTCTTTTCTGCTACGCTAGGAGGAAGTCTCGAAAGAAGTCCAGATGTCAAAACCTGTGTACTGATTTGATATTTACATGCCCATCCTGGAATCACTGTGGCCAGAGAGATGATGTGTAATGATTGGCTGGGGCCCAAGTCCCATTCTATCTTACAACCCAGACCCTGTGGCTGGGGGAAATTCAGGGCTCTGATTGGCTGGGCCTGGGTCTCAGGCCACTCTGGTAGTCGGGGGTGAAGTCAACTCATCTGAACCACTTGGATTGAGGGTATGTTGAGTCTGTGACAAGTCCTCAGCTCCCAGATCAAGAAACCAGAAATTGTCGGCCCCCAGAAGGCCCTCATGCCCCTTTCCCCCAGGGTAACTGCCCTCCCCCTGGGGTAACCCCTGCCCTATCTCTTCTTCTGCCAACATAGATTAGTTTCCTATATAATTAGAATCTGAGCACATACTCTTTTGGGCCTGACTTCTTTCGCTCAGCTTTGTGTTTGTGACATTCCTTTATGTTGTGTATATTTATAGATCGTTCATTCTCATTGCTATATAACATTCCACTGGGAGAAGATACCACAGTTTGTTTTTCCATTCTACTGCTGATGTGCGTTTGGGAAGTTTCCAGTTTGGGCTGTTATGAATAGCAATGCTGTAGACACACTCCTGGACACGTCTTTTGGTGCACATGTACTTGCATTTCTGTTGGGTGTATACCTAGGAGTGGAATTGCTGGGTCAGAGGGCATTCGTGTGCCCAGCTTTAATTGATACTGCCAAACAGTTTTCCAAAGTGGTTGTACCAATTTGCATTCTTGGAGCAGTTCTGAAGTCCCTGGATTAGCTGGCATCTGTGTCCCATACAAACTGCAGAGCGATGAGTCTGGGCCTCATAGAAAGTTGGGGCTTGTTAGCAGCTGCACTCTGGGTCCTGGGCCCACAAAGAGGGAGAGAGTTCCTGCTTTCTCCTGTTGCACTGCTGCCGTTTGATTATGTTCTGTCCACGCCATCCTGAGTCTTTCTCTTTTAGGACTGACTTTTATATGAAAGTATTTCCCTGCATCTCAGGTGGATGAGTGTAGTTGGAGTCTGCATTTCCGTAGTACTAAGGGGCAGGGGAGTGAGGGCTGCATTTGTCTTGGAGCGCCATCCGCCCCTTTGGCTAGAGTTCTGGTGAGCTTGTGCCTTGCCTGCTCTACTCAGCCTCAGGATCGAGTGGCCAAAGGTGCTGCTGACTCCCCGAGCTTGGCCGATGCACATAGAGCACTCTACATGGATTCTGCAGGATTCCTGAGTGTCACCAACATTTTGAATCAAAAAAGAAAGCCTTGGCCTGACCATTCTCAGAAAGAGGAACCCAAAGTAGGATGTGGCTTTACAATCAGAGGAAGTGGATCCCAGTGGTGGTAGCGCAGGATGGTGTGTGTGTCCTGCTGCACAGAGCAGCTTCTGCATCCAGCCGAGGCTGAGGCCTGGGCCCAACTGGCAGAGCGACCAAAAGAACATCTCTCTCAAACTAAACATTTCCTTTCAACTATTTTTTTTTTTTTTGAGGAAGATCAGCCCTGAGCTAACATCTGCCGCCAATCCTCCTCTTTTTGCTGAGGAAGACTGGCCCTGAGCTAACATCAATGCCCATCTTCCTCTACTTTATATGTGGGATGCCTACCACAGCATGGCCTGCCACACGGTGCCATGTCCGCACCCCGGATCTGAACCAGCAAACCCCGGGCCGCCAAAGTGGAATGTGCGCACTTAACTGCTGTGCCACCGGGCAGGCCCCTCCTTTCAACTATTTTTAAAAGTCATTTAAATCTAGGAGAATCTGACCTCTTGTTAGGGTAACTTTTTAAAAAATTATCTTACTGAAGTCACATTGGTTTATAACATTGTGTAAATTTTGGGTGTACATTATTATAATTCAGCTTCTGTATAGACTGCATCGTTTTCACCACCAAAAGTCTAGTTTCCGTCCGTCACGATACATATGTGTCCCTTTACCCCTTTCGCCCTCCCCCCAACCCCCTGCTCCTCTAGTGACCACCAATCTGTTCTCCTTGTCTGTGTGCTTGTTGATCTTCCACATAGGAGTGAAATCATATGGTGTTTGTCTTTCTCTGTCTGACTTACTCTGCTTAGCCTAATGCCCTTAAGGTCCATCCATGTTGTAGGGAACTATTTTTCTAAAAAATAAAAATCATAGGACATAAAGGAAAGGATTGATAAATTTGACTGTATCAACGTTAAAAACTTCTCCTCATCAAGAAAACACCATGAACAAAGTGAAAAGATGATGTGGACTAGAAGAAGATATTTCCAACTCATTTAATCAACAAAGGAATTGAATCTAGAGTGTATAAAGAAACCCTACAAACCAATAAGAAAAAGATAACCCCACTGAAAAATGCGTAAAGTTTATAAGCAGGCTATTTGCAGATGATAAATGTTTTATGGATAATCGGGAAATGCAAGTTAAAATAGCAAGAGAGCAATTCATGCCTGTCAGATTGGCAGGAATGAGTAGATTTGGCAATACCAAGTACTGGCGAGGATATGGAGATTAGGCACTCGGCAATGGTGGTGCCATTGCTAAGGGGCCACTCCTTTACTTGGGTCAAGTTTGTGATGTGGTTAGACCTGTCATAGGTTATACCTATGATCCGACAGCCCCACTCTTAGGTATATACCCTAGACCTGCGCTGTCACGTGTGGCAGCCACCAGCCACATATAGCTCTCGAGCCCTTGAAATATGGAGAGTGTGACTGAGGAACAGAATTTTTAAATAATTAATTTTAATTCATGTAAATGTAAGAATTGATACTCAATTCACTTTCTTTTAAGTATATTTGGAACAACTTGAGTCTGAACCCACTTTTTCACCAGTAAATTATATGAAATCTATGTATAGAAGTATTTCTGATGAAAATCTAGTGTCCAAATTACAGTGTGCTCAAGTGTAAAATACACACCAGACTTCAGACTTAATAGCAAAAAAAAAAAAGTAAAATATCTCCTTAGTAATTTTTCTGTGTTGATAACATACTGAAACAAACGTATTTTGGATCTATTGGATTAAATAAAATATAATACCAAACTTAATTTTATCTGTGTCTTTTACTTTTTTTTTTGATGTGGCTACTGGTAACTTTGACAATACACACGTGGTTCACGTTATATTTCTCTTGGACAACGCTCATCCAGACTGTGGGCAAGAATATACATTGCAGCATTGCTTATAATAATCAGAGAGAATAGACACAAACCTTGGGGTTCATCAACAGGAGAAGGGGCAAATAAATTGTGGTTGATTGACACAGTGGAATACCACACAAGAGTTCAAATGAATGATCCAGAGCTACATGTATCACGTGGGTGAATCTAAGGACCAGAATGTTGAGAGGCGCGAACAAGTTGTGGAAAGCTCACTATTCAGACCAAGTTTTAAGGCATGCAAAAATATTAGGAATTGTTTTGTGGATACATGTCAGTATAATGAAAGCATGGAAACATGCATGGAAGTTATAAACAACCCGAATCCAGGTGGTAGTAACCTGGAGTGGGAGAGATACTAGAAGGACCTTTAATTGTGTCTGTAACATTTTGTTGCTTACTGGGAATGAGTATGACTGGTGGGTTTGGTATGAGTCAGCTATTTCAACAAATTGTTTGATGGCCAGAGCCATTTTTAAGCCACTTGGTTTCTGGTTAGAAAGTTTCAAAAACTGCAGCCTTTGGTCCTGGTCAAGTCCTGGGTCGTCTGACCAGTGATCCTTCCATTTCCCACCTTTGCCAGCTGGTGGCCATGGTGGGGCCTCCGTGTGTGAGTTCCTGAGAAAAGATGATTTGGTATGGGTCTTGGTGTCTTGAATTTGGGCCACTGCTGTGAGGGAGGCAGATGGAGTGCTGGCTGTGATGAGAGGCAGCTCAGCCAAGACGGTGGCCTGGGGCAGTAGGAGCCACAACCCGCCCCAGGCAGGACAAGGCCCAGAGAGAGGCAAGCTTTGGGTGTCCATGGGGCTGGGATTTCGTCCTGAGCCTCCTGCCATCAGAGGTCCTGACTTTGTGTTCGAAGGGCTCACCCAAGCACACCTGAAGGGGACTCATTTCGCCCTCGTTGCCTTTTCAGGACAACTGGTGTCTGAGAAGTGAAAAAGCAGGATGCCCCCTGGGGTTGACTGCCCCATGGAATTCTGGACCAAGGAGGAGAATCAGAGCGTGGCTGTTGACTTCCTGCTGCCCACGGGGGTCTATCTGAACTTCCCTGTGTCCCGAAATGCCAACCTCAGCACCATCAAGAAGGTACGAGCTTGACATTACAACTAGTCCCCAGAGCCTGGAACTCAGAGAGAAAGACAGACAGACAGACGCTCACACTCACGTGCGTAGATTCTCTGATTTGAGATCCTTGGATATGGATTTTAAGAGGAATAAATAATATCCAAGAATTGTTGAAAAACTTATGGTTGGAGTCCCCCTAGCATTCCGAGTTCCGCTTCCCGCCTCTGTCAGTGCTTTGTCAGCGCACGTTTACCGAGAGCTTCAGGCTGTAGTTCCAATGGTGGCCTTTGAGTCTCTCCGTGACTGTGCCATCGTTTTTGGAACCACACCCCATCCACAGCCACTTAAGAATTTTACTGGTCTTTCGTCTTTGGGGCTGTCATCATAGTAAACATCACCTTTGGAAGTAGTTTTTGTTTTGTTGAATAATTTTCAGGGTGGATTACTGAGCCAAAGGATTAGACATCTGGATAGAATTTGATAGATGTTGTCTTGAGACCTTTCAAGGAGATTGTCCCACTTACAAAGTAGGGATTTAATGGGTCATACCAGAAGGCAAGACCTTAGCTCGGAATTTCAAAACCTATATTTGGGGCCAGAAAAAACGGAGAGAAGCAGTGTACCATCCTTGAGGGTTTTTTTTAATCTTCCTTTCCTGGGAGATTTCTTTTAAAATTAAATTTTTTTTTCCATTTCAAAAGTAATATTGACACATTGAAATTTAGTAACATAAGAAAAAGTAGGAGGAAGAAATTACCTATGATCCAGCCTTATGAGACAACCACAGTTCACACTGGCTATTTCTTATTTTCTTTTTTTATGTACAGTGTTTTTTTTGTGGTAATTCTGATTATGAACTTTTGTTATCTTTTTTTCTGAGTTAACATTATAACATCTTTCTCATGTATCATTTTTTTTTGAAGATTTTATTTATTTCCTTTTTCTCCACAAAGCCCCCCAGTGCATAGTTGTATATTCTTAGTTGTGGGTCCTTCTGGTTGTGGCATGTGAGATGCCACCTCAGCATGGCCTGATGAGCGGTGCCATGTCCACGCCCAGGATTGGAACTGGCGAAACCCTCGGCCGCCGCGGTGGAGCGCATGAACTTAACCGCTCGGCCATGGAGCCGGCCCCTCATGTATCATTTTTAAGTTAATCTTATTTTTCTGCTTACAGAGCTATACGTGAATGTTATTAAAATTTGAATACTGCAGAAAAGTAAAACACGTCCGTCCCTGCAGACTCACCTCACACTCCAAGTCTATTTCAATTTCTTTATCTTTTTTGGGGGGGTTGGTGAGGAAGATTGGCCCTGAGCTAACATCTGTTGCCAATCTTCCTGTTTTTGCTTGAGGAAGAGTGTTGCTGAGCTAACATCTCTGCCAGTCTTCCTCTATTTTATGTGGGTTGCTGCCACAGCATGGCTTAACAATGGTGCTAGGTCCGTGCCTGGGATCTGAACCTACAAACTCCGTCTGCTGAAGCGGAGCATGAAAACTTCACCACTATGCCTCTGGGTCAGCCCCTTCTTTGTTTGTTTTTTTTTTTTTTACCAAGGGACAGATAGTAAATATTCTAGGCTTTGCTGGCCATATGAGATTTGTTGCAACTGCTCAACTCTGCCATCAAAGGGCAAAAGCAGCCATAGACAATGTGTAGATGAATGGACATGGCTGTCTTCCAATAACCTGGCAAACCATTGCTTGCCGAGTCCTGGTCTATAGTAATTAATGCATTTATTATTGTTGTTTTTATGGAAATGGGCTTGAATTACATCTGCTGTTCTACAGCTTGAGTTTTTGCCCACTTACTGATGTGCCTTGGAGCCCTCCATGCTGGTTTGTACAGGGATCCCTAGATTCTGGGTCACGGCTCTGTGCTCTCTCTTGGTTGATGGATCGTAATTATCTGTCCCCCGTGGTAGCAGCGCTGGGCCATTCCTTCCTTTTCCATCTTCTCTGTGACTCAGCAGTGAACACCTTTGTACTAAAGCCTGACTGTTGAACGGCTTCCCCAGCAATCCCTGGGGACACCTTGCCCCGAGAGCACACGTTGACAGCCGTGGCTGAACGCAGCTCCCTCAGTGAGCTACACTTTTCTGAATTAGTTGCCAACATTTAAAAATCAGGCTGATGAATCCAGAACGATTAGCTCGGGGTGCCCGGAGGTCATGTCCGGCCGGCCGTAACCTACAGGGGAGACTGTAGGACGAGCTGCTCAGGTCCAGATTTGAGCGCGTACCTGGTTCCCTTCACAGAAGGCAGTGATGGAGATGCCTGGGGACCCACGTGGTCAGTGCTTAAGGGATCTGGAGAGGGTAGTGGTCTTGGGATCTTGCCTTTGCCCTCTTGTCAGGGTCATGCAGGGTGGGACACCCAGACTGAGGCCAGCCTCACCCTGCCCTCAGCCTCCCAGCTCCCTGTGGCCCTGCCTGCCTTGGCCGAAGGGGCTGATTGGTGCCTATCCCTCCCAGGTGTTGTGGCACCGAGCCCAGTATGAGCCACTCTTCCACATGCTCAGTGACCCCGAGGCCTATGTGTTCACCTGCGTCAACCAGACTGCGGAGCAGCAGGAGCTGGAGGACGAGCAGCGGCGGCTGTGTGACATCCAGCCCTTCCTGCCGGTTCTGCGCCTGGTGGCCCGCGAGGGCGACAGGGTGAAGAAGCTCATCAACTCGCAGATCAGCCTTGTCATCGGCAAAGGTACCCCTACTGGGGTGCTTCTTGTCATCCAGCTGTCCTGCTCTCCACTGCACCCCCATGCTGATCTGCTCCTCCCTGCCTCTCAGGCCTCCATGAGTTTGACTCCTTGCGTGACCCAGAAGTGAATGACTTTCGCACCAAGATGCGCCAGTTCTGTGAGGAGGCCGCTGCCCGCCGGCAACAGCTGGGCTGGGAGGCCTGGCTACAGTACAGCTTTCCCCTGCAGCTGGAGCCCTTGGCGGGAAACTGGGGAGCCAGCACCCTACGGTTCCCCAGCCGGGCCCTTCTGGTCAACGTCAAGTTCGAGGGCAGTGAGGTAAGCCCATGGCTCCTGCCGGCCAGTTTGCTGTATCCGTGTCCATGGGATTGCTTCCTCTGTGGGACTCCCCAGTCATCCAGCAGCCCCCAAATTCACCCTCCTCCCAGTAGCATCAAATGGTATTTTGGGGGTGTCCGTGCATGCAAGGGGCTTGGCCGAACCCCCCAGCAGGCAAGTTCAACAAGGCAGAATGACTCAATGGCCTTGGTCATTGGTCCATTCTTTCATTCAGCAAATATTTCCTGGCTGTCAGCCAAGTGCCTTCATCAGACCTCGCCCTCATGGAGCTCACATTCGGGGGGCGTGGGTGCCTAAGACGGGCAAGTAGGCAACCCCGCCCCCTGTGCCCCAGAACCCCGTGGGCCCTCCACAAAGCTGAGGGCTGACCCTCCCCCCTCCCCCTAGGAGAGCTTCACCTTCCAGGTGTCCACCAAGGACGTGCCCCTGGCACTGATGGCCTGTGCCCTCCGGAAGAAGGCCACGGTGTTCCGGCAGCCCCTGGTGGAGCAGCCCGAGGACTACACGCTGCAGGTGAACGGGAGACTCGAGTACCTGTACGGCAGCTACCCCCTCTGCCGCTTCCAGGTGAGGGCAGAGGGCTGGGATGGGCCCGCTCTCCGGGGTCCCCAAGCCCGGGGCTGGGGCTGGGGCTGGGGGGCTGGTCCTTGGCCCCTCTTGAGCCTGATGAGCCAGGCATTTGGGGGTCATGGCGGGATCGTCCCCCTTACTGGGCTGGCGCTCCCCATGAGCACAAGGAGGGCTCCATCTTCAGGAGGTGGGTGGGATCAGGAAGAGCCGGCAGGAAATGCCCCCCGAAGGCCTGGGATAGGCAGCGGTGAGCATCGGGGCGTCCCCGGGGAGCCAGTTATCCCAGCCCCCCGTCGGCCTCTCACTCTGCCCCCCATCTCAGTACATCTGCAGCTGCCTGCACAGCGGGCTGACCCCTCATCTGACCATGGTGCACTCCTCCTCCATCCTCGCCATGCGGGACGAACAGAGCAACCCCACCCCCCAAGTCCAAAAACCGCGCACCAAACCGCCCCCCATTCCCGTGAAGAAGGTGAGCCAGTGCCTTCCGCTTACCCTCCCCTCCATCCCTTCCTCCCACCTGTTCTCTAACGCTAGCGCCTATTGGGCAACACCCTGGCTGGCTGTGGGTCCAGGGCCCCCTGGTCTCATGCCCCTTGGTTGGTCTTTGTTGAAAGTTGGGGCTTTGAGTTTGGGCAGCCAACACGAGTGACATCCTGGGGTGGGGTCCTGCCCGAACTTTCCGGGGGCCGCCTCCGGGCCTGGCTCTTGGCTGCTCTTCCCCTCTCACTCCTGCCCCCTGCACTCTGGGCAGAACTCCATGCCCGGCAGAGCTCAGGGGCGTCGGGACCCCTGGGGGCACCTGCATGGCAGGTCTAAGGATGGTGTTGTGGACAAGTACCTGAGCCTTGCCACAGATTGCAACGCTCTCCCCTCCCCCTGCAAGTGACCATGGGCCTTGTCAGTGGCAAGGGGTGAGAGCCCCAAGCCCCTGGTTCCTCTGCTTCAATGGCCCTGCTTCTCCCCTCCCCCACCTCAGCCCTCCTCTGTGTCCCTGTGGTCCCTGGAGCAGCCGTTCTGCGTCGAGCTCATCCAGGGCAGCAAAGTGAACGCAGATGAGCGGATGAAGGTAGGGGGCTTCTGGGCCAGAGGGGCTTGGGGGGTGTTTTTTGCACAAACAAGGCGGCTGTGTCCTGGAGGGGCAGCAGAGGAAGAAGCGGGGGGGTCACACGAAAGCCACCTGACCACATTACCCAGCATCCCTGCCTGGGGTGGTTGTGAGTCGCTTCAAAACAGGAAGGGGGGAGGGGAGCAAGCTGGTTGGCCAGAGAGGCTGATTCGTGGAAACAGAGCCCAGCGAGTTCTGAGTATTTGACTTTGGTGGAGGTTGTGGGGCCTGGCCCAGCCCAGGGATGTGGGAACCTCAAAGTCTGGGAGGTGACAGGCGCGGAAGAGGAGCTGCTCCAGCTGGGCTGGGGCCCTTGGGGCTCCCAGGGCGTCTGTGGGAGGTGTGTGCAGCAGGTGCCTCAGCCCAGGGGCCAAGCCCACCTCTGGGCTGCTCGCACACCCCATCTCCTCGGTCCTCAGGACAGCCAGCAAGGTGCAGGCTTTATTGTCCCATTTGTAGGATGTGAAACCTGGGTCCGCAGAGGCTGCGTCTCTTTGGGGAGCATTTTCTGTTGGACTAATTTCACAAGCAGAGCAGGCCTGGGATCCCCTGGCAGAGTCATGGAGGATTGGGTCTGGGGGCTGGTGTTTGGCTGGGGCAGCTTTCTGGGCAATGAGGGCTGTCACGTGGAGCTGAAGGAGGAGGGCAGGAGTGTTTAGGGGCATTAAATCCTGCCCCGCCCACAAGGGGCTCATCTGATTCTGAGCAGTGGAGGGAGCCCTTGGGTGTTCAAGCCAGAAGGTGCCCTGGAGTTCCAGAGCCACGATGGGGAAACTGAGCCCCAGAGCAGGGAAGCAACACGCGCTGGGGTCCCACAGAGCCCTTGGGGAGCTGAGAGCAGCTGCCCATGCACAGCCATCTTTCTTCCACACCACCTTCTCCCACGTGGGAAGTGGGATTCAGACCCATGTGAAATGAGGACCTTTCAGGAGGAGATGCAAACCTTAGGTGGGTGGGAGAACCTGGGAGGAAAGAGGGAGGCGGGGCCTCTGCCACCCGTCACCCGGTGCCCACACCTTCCCCAGCTGGTGGTGCAGGCTGGGCTTTTCCATGGTAATGAGACGCTCTGCAAGACGGTGTCCAGCTCGGAGGTGAGCGTGTGCTCAGAGCCTGTGTGGAAACAGCGGCTGGAGTTTGACATCAACGTCTGCGATCTGCCGCGCATGGCCCGTCTCTGCTTTGCACTTTACGCCGTGATTGAGAAGGCCAAGAAGGCTCGCTCCACCAAGAAGAAGTCCAAGAAGGCGGTGGGTGGGGTGGCCGGGAGGTGGGGCCAGGCCTCAGAGAACCAGTGCACTCCCTGCTGGGCTTAGTCCAGTCCTGCAGCCCTGGCCCACTCCCCATCCTGCTCTCAGTAGGCACACAGCCTGAGGATGGGCTCCTGGGAGGGCCTGCGGACCCTAGCCTCCCCACCCCGCCCATAGCAGCCACTGCCCCTGCTCTGTGACAGCTCTGGGTTCCTGGGCTCATGAGCAGGGTGACTTGGAATATCTGGACCTTGGTCTTCAGTCCTTGTGGGAACCTGGAGGCAGCTCCCTGGGTGGAAGGACAAAGGGACTGTCCTCACAGCGGCAGAGGGGCCTGAGTCAGCAGCTGGCTGGGGAGGAGTGGCGGTTGGGCCCTGAGTCACGCTGTAACTGGCCACTGAGCCACGCTGACTCACCCATTGCTGAGCTGGGCCACCTTTCTGGGGCTGACGTGGTTTGTTTGGGGGTTTCTCAAGAAGCCCAGAGTGGGGATGCAGCTGGGAACAGAAGGGAGCCAAGAGGTGGCTGACCTGGCTGGCTTCCCCCAGGGAGTCTGGGCAAGGCAGGGAAGCATGGCCCGGAGGCTGGGCCCATCCTGCTGATGAGCCAGTGGGGGCTCTTCAGCAGCTGGCCCTGACCTGCCCACGTTCTCTTCCAGGACTGCCCCATTGCCTGGGCCAACCTCATGCTGTTTGACTACAAGGACCAGCTCAAGACTGGGGAATGCTGCCTCTACATGTGGCCCTCCGTCCCAGGTCAGCCCAGGCCAGGAGGGAGAGGCGTGGGGGGAAGGGGTCCCAGACGTGGTGGCATTCCCCATGCAACTCCATCCGTCCCTGTGTCTAGATGAGAAAGGGGAGCTGCTGAACCCCACGGGAACCGTGCGCAATAACCCCAACACTGAGAGCGCTGCCGCCCTGGTCATCTCCCTCCCCGAGGTGGCCCCCCACCCCGTGTACTACCCTGCCCTTGACAAGGTCAGTGAGGGGCCCCTGCCACCTGGGGCCCAGGACCTGCCCTGCCCAGAGGCTGTGGGGCTAAAGATGAACTTTTCTGACTCTGCCTCTGACTCCCGAGAGCATGGTCCCCACGCCCTGTGAGTTGCCCGGGGCAGGGGGCAGGGTCACCACATACATTTGGGGGGTCTCTTGACTCTCCAGAATCCTCATGTGCCCTAGAGCAGTAGTTTTCAACCAGGGGCCACTTTGCCCCCCAGGGGACTTTGGACAATGTCCAAAGACATTTTGGGTGTCACAACCAGTGGGAGAGATACTCCTGGCATCTTGTGGGTGGAGGCCAGGCATGCTGCTAAACACCCTAGAGTGTACGAGACAGTCCCCACCCTGAGAGTCATTGGCCCGCAAGGTCAGTAGTGCTGAGGTGTTGACCCCTCCCCGCCGGGGCCCTGCCAGGGCTGGCCCAGGCCCTGGGGTCGCCGCTGAGAGCATGGCCGCTTGTTGCAGATCTTGGAGCTGGGGCGGCCCGGGGAGCATGGGCGCTTCACCGAGGAGGAGGTGAGCTGGGGGCCGTAGCCGTGGGCGGTGGGGCATGGAGGCAGGCCGCAGCCCTCACCCCCTCCTGCGCCCCTCAGCAGCTGCAGCTGCGGGAGATCCTGGAGCGGCGGGGGTCCGGGGAGCTGTATGAGCATGAGAAGGACCTGGTGTGGAAGATGCGACACGAGGTCCAGGAGCACTTCCCCGAGGCACTGGCCCGGCTGCTGCTGGTCACCAAGTGGAACAAGCATGAGGACGTGGCCCAGGTGGGCAGCAGGGCAGGGGCCCTGGGGGAGGGCCAGAGCCTGGAGTCAGACGCAGCTGCTGCTTGCCCCATGCCCTGACCACCAGCATCCCCTAGATGCTCTACCTGCTGTGCTCCTGGCCTGAGCTGCCTGTGCTGAGCGCCCTGGAGCTGCTGGACTTCAGCTTCCCCGACCGCCACGTGGGCTCCTTCGCCATCAAGTCCCTGCGGAAACTGACGTGAGTCCCATGGGCTCCCTGCTCCGTGGAAGGGCAGCTTTGCCCCAATTGCCCACAAGTGGGCACCGGCTGGGGACGTTCTGAACCTTCCCTGGGGACCTGCTCAGGTGGGACCGGCCTCTCGTGCCTGCCCTGCCCCCTCGCCAGCAGCAGACCCCTGTCCCTAGCCGTGAAGCTCCGGGCCCCAGCCGGCCTCCCTTCCCTGCAGGGACGACGAGCTTTTCCAGTACCTGCTGCAGCTGGTGCAGGTGCTTAAGTACGAGTCCTACCTCGACTGTGAGCTGACCAAATTCCTGCTGGACCGGGCCCTGGCCAACCGCAAGATCGGCCACTTCCTCTTCTGGCACCTCCGGTAGCTGGACTCACCGGGCCCCTGTGTCTCCCTGGAAGGCCATGGGGAGGAGGGACCTTGTCTGCTGGCCTCACGTTTCCTGCCGGCCTGGGTGTCGCGGCTGGACTGGGAGAGGCTGTGTGGCCCTGCCAGGAGAGGCTCAGCCCCCTCTTCCTCCCTCCAGGTCCGAGATGCACGTGCCGTCGGTGGCCCTGCGCTTCGGCCTCATCATGGAGGCGTACTGCAGGGGCAGCACCCACCACATGAAGGTGCTGATGAAGCAGGTGAGCCTCAGGCCCCTGGCCCCGCCCCAGCCTGGGCTCTGCTTTCGGGTAGGGTTGGCCGGGCCCCTTTAGAATCACCTGGGCCGGGCTGAGCTCAGAGCCTGCTCCTCCCGGCCTGCGCACACTGTGCTGCCCTCCCGTTCTCCCGGCCAGGGGGAAGCACTGAGCAAACTGAAGGCCCTGAACGACTTTGTCAAAGTGAGCTCCCAGAAGGCCACCAAGCCCCACACCAAGGAGCTGATGCACCTGTGCATGCGCCAGGAGACCTACCTGGAGGCCCTCTCCCACCTGCAGTCGCCGCTCGACCCCAGCATCCTGCTGGCTGAAGTCTGGTGAGCCCTGAGACCCCACGATCCCCCTGACCCCCTGCCCCAAGGCCCTGTCTGGGGACCGGTGCTGACCCCCCTCTGGCCCGGCAGTGTGGAGCAGTGCACCTTCATGGACTCCAAGATGAAGCCCCTGTGGGTCATGTACAGCAACGAGGAGGCGGGCAGCGATGGCAGCGTGGGCATCATATTTAAGAACGGGGATGGTGAGCAGGCGGGTCCCCTGGGGAAGGGCCTGCTGAGGCCTTGGCCTCCCGACACCGTGCCATGCTGCCCTGGGGGTCCCTGGGGGATGACTCCTGGAGGGCAAGCCGAGGGGCAGTTCTGGGACTTTGGGGCCTGGGCATGGCTGCGAGTGGAGAACCCACTAGAAACTCATGGTTTTCCTTCTGGGGGATGCTGCACAGACCTCCGCCAGGACATGCTGACTCTGCAGATGATCCAGCTCATGGACGTTCTGTGGAAGCAGGAGGGGTTGGACCTGAGGTGAGGGGCCCTCCTGTCATCCATTTGTGCCTGCACCAAGCCCAGGACTCTGTCCCTTTGGAGGGGGTCCCCTTGACGCAACATTACCACCTCAGGAAAAATGGCTCCTGTAGGAAGGACGGGGACGGGTTTAACTAGGGCCCAGGGAGGCAACGGAGCCACAGGATGAGGTGGAGAAGGCCAGGCCTGCTGCTGGCATCTGTCCCGTTCTGTTTTTCCTTTGCCCCAAGTATCCCTGGCTTCCTGCCCCTTCCTGGGAAGTAGTGGCATCGTCTTTCAAGCCACGTGGATTTTTCTCTCTGAGCAAATGTGAGCTCAGCCAAGGTGCTGACTCTGCATCTGGGTGCTGGTGCTGACCTCTCCAAGGAGCCTTCCCCTGGGGCCCTGGGAGCCAAGAGCTCCTCCCCAGCACCTTTCTCCTCCTTTTCAGCAGCTTGAGTAGCATCTCCTGTGGCTATTTTTGGTGCCTTGAGCTCCTTGGGGGTCAAGCAGCCCTGGAGACAGCCCTTGACCACGGCATTTCTCTGCCCCTCCCCCCACCTGGCTAGGATGACCCCCTATGGCTGCCTCTCCACCGGGGACCGCACGGGCCTCATCGAGGTGGTGCTTCACTCAGACACCATTGCCAACATCCAGCTGAACAAGAGCAACATGGCAGCCACGGCCGCCTTCAACAAGGATGCCCTGCTCAACTGGCTCAAGTCTAAGAACCCTGGGTAGGTTTCTGGTCCAGGGAAAGATGCTTTCTCCTTTCCGAGAGGTGTGGTTTGGGAGTCAAAGGTGACAAGAAGGGCCTGGGACAGTCTCTGTGGCTTCTTGGCTCAGCCGAGGACCAGCCATGTCTCTGTGGGTAGGGGTTGGGTCTCCATTCCCCCATTTATCAGTCGTCTGTCGCCGGGAACAACCACCCTTGAACTCAGGGACAGAAAACAACCGCCATTTATTATTGGCTCACAAGCCTGTAACTCGAGCCAGCTCAGCTGAGTGGCTCTGCTGTCATCACTCGTGCAACTGCTGTCATCTGGGAGCTTGACTGGGCATGGAGGGTCGCATGTCTGGGGCCTCGGCGCTGGCCCTCAGCCGTGTTGCCTCTCCTCATTCTAGCCTCAGCTTCCCGCCATGGCAGTAGGGAATGTGCAGGAGGTGGGAAGTATCTTAAGGCCTAGGCTCTGGGATGAGCCCAGCATCACTTCCTCCACACTCCCGTGGTCCAAGCAGATCACAAGGCCACATTCAAGGGGAGGGGACCTCACCTCTTGGTAGAAGGAGCTGCAAAGGAGTGTGGCCATGGTTTCCATTCTGCCCTCCTCCCCTCACCCAGGGAGGCCCTGGAACGAGCTATTGAGGAGTTCACCCTCTCCTGCGCTGGCTACTGTGTGGCCACATACGTGCTGGGCATCGGTGATCGGCACAGCGACAACATCATGATCCGCGAGAATGGGCAGGTAGGGGCAGTGTGGGGGCTGCCATGCAGGCAGCACCTGTCTTCTGGCCCCGCCCTGGCCTTTCTGCGCTGCGCACGGCTCCGAGGCAGAGCCCCCTCCAAGCTCTTCCGGGTCCCTCTGTCTCCCCAGGTCCTCTGGACCAAGGCACTCTCCTTTCTGACTCCTTTTCAGTCTCTGCCCTTCCCTCCCCTTAGCTGTTCCACATTGATTTTGGCCACTTTCTGGGGAATTTCAAGACCAAGTTTGGAATCAACCGTGAGCGAGTCCCATTCATCCTCACCTATGACTTTGTCCATGTGATCCAGCAGGGGAAGACTAATAATAGTGAGAAATTCGAAAGGTGAGGGTGCCTCAGACCCCCTGGATGCCCTTTGGTGCCTGGGGCCCCAGGCAGGGGGCAGGGACGGGGACCAGCTCTCAGCCCACCCCTGGAAGGGGGCAGTGCAGGGAGAAAGCTCCTGGGTCCTGTAGGAGGAGGCCGGCTGGGGCAGGGGGTCGCCGTTAAAGGGAGTGGGGGCTGTGTACGGCTATTTCCAGGGCAAGGGCAGGCTGGCCTGCTGGCCCCCTGGCTCGGGGTGAAAGGGTGACAGAGTGGCTGGGAGGACCCAGAGCCCCTCCCCCCGCCCCCCTGCAGGTTCCGGGGCTACTGTGAGAGGGCCTACACCATCCTGCGGCGCCACGGGCTGCTCTTCCTGCACCTCTTCGCCCTGATGCGGGCGGCCGGCCTGCCTGAGCTCAGCTGCTCTAAAGACATCCAATATCTCAAGGTAAATGCTGGGGCCAGGCCGCCAGGCAGAGCAGGGGGCCTGACTTCCCAAGGCCTGCCTCCAAGTAGTACGACCTGGGGGGCCCGAGGGTGATGGACCCCCCCCTCCCCCCGACGGAGGGCACTCCTGATTCCAGTCCTCATGCCAGCCGGGACCCAGCAGTGGGGTCACGTGGGAAGTGGCCGGAGTTGGTCTCGGTTCTCTTGCGGATGGGCCAGGACCTCCCTTGGTCCACCTGTCTGTCCTCCATAGGCACAGGTGTTCCCACTTGTACGAGAAGGCTGGATTAGATATGGTTCCCTCTACACTTTAAAAAATGCTTTTCCTTCCTGTATCTTTTCAGTTTGTGCAACCCTGAGGCAGGTGGTGGGGGGGGGGCGGGGGATTGGGTCACAGGCCCCTGTCAGGTATTCTCTTGGGTGCCCAGTTCCTGCAGAATGAGGCTGCTCCCTCCCTCCCTTCCTCCTCTTGGAGTTAGTTTCCAGTGAAGGCAAGGCCGCCTGTCCACCCATGGGGCACTGGGGCCAAGACCTCCTGGTGCCAGCTGGCATCTTGTTTTGGGGGTGGTTAGGGGGCCTGTCTTGGTTTGGGATCAGAATAAAGAGCTTTTCCCAAGGGAGATATTGGGTGGCTCTCTCCACGCAGTTCTTTTAGGAGGGGATTTAAAATGCCCAGAGAGGGCAGAAGTACAGGCAGGCGGAGGGGCCGCCTTGTGGAGCGGCGGGGACCAGGCCCCCTCAGTGCTGATGCTCACTGCTCTGATGATGTTGGCTCAGGACTCTCTGGCCTTGGGAAAAACGGAGGAGGAGGCTCTGAAGCACTTCCGAGTGAAGTTTAACGAAGCGCTCCGGGAGAGCTGGAAGACCAAAGTGAATTGGCTGGCCCACAACGTGTCCAAAGACAACAGGCAATAGCAGCCCTGCCTCCCGGCGGCACACCGGCCCCGCCGAGCCAACCGTGCATCCTGGGAACCAGGCACCCTCCGCTGCCCTTCGGGGCCTGGAAGCCTGAACTGCACCCCATGGGAAAGAACCTACACAACTGCCTTTTGTTTACACTGGTTATTTATTTATGACTTGAAATGTTTCAGGAACTAAACAGCCATAAACGGTAATGCATCCTTTGTGCAGGGGAGGGGTGCTGTGCTCCAGGGGCCCCGGTCAGAGCCCTGGCCTTGGAGGAGAAGACACTGTGAACTGGGCACCTCAAGGCTGCATCTGCTGAGGATTGTAATCCCAAGTCTTCCAGCTGGCAGATCTGGACCCAGCAAGGAATATTTTCCCCACCGGGGAGCCTGCCTTCTTCCCAGGCTCCAGCCGGGCTGTACAGTCTCGGCGCCGACAGCTACCTGGTGCCCGCTGTGCGGACAGGGCGCCGGCGCCTCCTCTGCTCACCCCTCCCTCACGCTCTCCGCTGAGCTCTGGGCAGCTCCCAGAGCAAACCTGGGTACTCTCTAGATTCAGGGATGCTTGCTCCCCACTTTCAGAGTGACTCTTGGGTACAGGAATTCTTTCATCTCTGCTATAAAGTGATTTTGTTTGCGGGTAAGAAAAAAAATAGCCAGACTACTTACTGAACCTCTGTGGCTCGGGAGAACAGCCCTGGGCCCCTGAAGTAGAATAGATGCTGGTCCTCAAGACACATTACAGAGATGGGAGCTTGATGCAGCTCATCCTGGTCATGGGTCAAGGTGAAAGCAGGTCAGAGTACTTTGTGCAATATCTGTAACCTGCCTCTTAAGGCAGGTTTTAAGTGAGGAGGAACCTGATCTCCTCATCCAGAACGCTCTCCTTTGAGAACCTGCCGTGAATAATCAGGTACCAGAAGTGTGAGTTAGGTGTGCGGTGGAATCTTTTTCTCTGACGGGTCTTATCTTGAAACGGTTCAGGCTTCAGTTTAGGTGGATCTGAGGAGCTCCAGAAATGCAGGTTCCTGGGCCCCTCCCAGCCTTCTGAAGCCACTCTGGAGACGGGCTAGGAGTCTGGGCTTTGAGAAGCCCACTGGAGAGCCTGACGTATTAGCAGCCAAGCCGGACCTGCCGGGCTACACTGCTTATCCCTCAAAGGTCCTGCAGGGCCCGGAAGAGCCAGCAGCCACTCCCCACTCAACAGCCCGGGTGCCAGTTCTTTTTCGGTCAGAGGCAGCCAAGCAGACACAGTCTGTCAGCAGTGAGTGCCACCCACAGAGCACCACTGACCGCACTCCTGTTCCCAACCAGCGCTGAATTCATGAGCCCCACCTGGCCTGTTTGGAAACAGGGAAAGCCAAGTGTATGTCTATACTGTATGTTATTTATTTAAGTGAGTCTGTGTGCTTCCTGGCGTGGGCAGCACACTTGGCACATACACAACAATTTCAGGTCTGGGTGCACGGCCTGTGTGCCTGACCAGAAGCATATTTTCTATGTTCTAACGTCATTTACTGTTTCTGTATGGGGAAGGCGAGTTCAACATACCTGATGATGGCTGAGACCAGCACTCTGTGAAACCTTGAGAGCTAAAAGTAGATTAAAAGAAATAAAAGCCTTTTTATGTTATGTTCTCAGCTCAAAAAGAAAGAGAATGCAAGATTAAAGCAAAGACCAGACAAAAAACAACAGTCTCCCAGTGGAGTTAGAACGGGCACTTTATTGTAGTGTTTACACTTTCCGACCTATCATCAATATACACACCCGAGAGGGGGCCACAGCAGCTACAGACAGCGCGAGGAGGTTTCGGCTCCGCGTTAGCGCCTATCCGTGGTCTAACAGAGCAGCTACGGTGATGGTACATGGAGGATGGCCACACGACACAGGACAGCCGGCAATGTCCTCGGAACTAGCAGTTATGATCTCACAACAGTATTCAAAATTATTTCCCCCCAGTTTTAGAAATCTAAAGTTTTACATGTAAATTAAAAACAAAGTGCTCTAGGGGCCTCAGCTCCTGACTGCTGTCCGCCTCGTCCTTCGCACGGCACGGAGCAGCAGGGCTCCTGCTCTGGGGACTGGGCTTCGCCGGGGCTCCGGGAGGAGAGAGGAGCTCATGGCCGTTTAGGGCAAGATCTAGCACTTGGCCTTTGGGCCTCTGGGGGTCCTTCCAGTGCGTCTGTGCCTCATGTTCTGAGTACAGGTCACTCAGGCCCACTGCATCCCCAAACTGAGTGGGCCGGCGGTTCGCACCATCTCTGTAGTGGATACAAGCTCCCACCACCAGGGAAACACAGGGCTGTGAAGCAGGAACCCCAAGGCTGCGAGAGGTAAGTCCAGGTTCCTGCACGAGGAGCTGCCGGTCATCAGAGGAGAGTGCCAAAGAGGCCAGGGACCCCAGCTCCCCTCAGCCCTCTGCCAAATTAGAAATGGGTAGAATCCCAAAGACAAGACCTGGCCATTTCCAACCTCCAAAGAGGGGCCCCTGACCACCCCTCCCCCCTCACATACACCCCTGCTGAGCAGTGCACCAAAGTCCGTGCCCCGTGACAGCCCCGGCCACACGCCAAGACCTGAGGCCTGCGGCTGGAGTGTACCAGCTGCCTGGGTAGGGCAGGCCCTTTTCTCCTTGTCCGGGGGACGAGGGAGCAGGAGCCCGCAGGGTCTCTCCTGTGCTCAGTGTTTGCACCTCACTTTGCATTCCAGCCCTGGATTACACTAGCACAGAGGACACGAGGAATCCCGATTTATTTACAAAATATTAAAAAGTCAGTTCATCTACATATTAACCCCCATTCTGCCACTTTATACATGCACTAGTTTGGAAAAAATAAAAACTTTTAAAAAAAAAGAAAAAACGGATTACCAGGTGGGAGTGAGCAATTTTAACCCTTTGTCAATGAGTCCAGTCATTGCAGCTTTTCCGGAGGTGCGAGGGGGCCACGCAGAGCGAGATGACATAACTTAAAAGAGATCGGGGGCAGGGGGAGCCTACGGTCCTACACACCAAGCACGGGCAGAGGATCGGCGAAGGGAGGGCCTGCAGACCTACTGGCCAGAATGACTTTGTACATCGTGGACCCTGGGGACTGTACGACAGATGACAGCAGAGTCTTCTGAAGCAGAAAAAAACGGTGACGGAGCGGCGGCGGCTCAGTAGCTGAGGGTGGAGTCGTCCCACTCCAGCTGCTGCTGTCTGTTCACATTCTGCTGGTCCCCGTGCTCCCCGCCCTCCTCCTCCTCGCTGCTCTCCGACTCGGCACTGGTGATGTCATCCTCCTCCTCCCCGTCCTCGCTCTCTTCCTCCTCCTCCTCCTCTTCCTCCTCACTGCTGTGTTGGTCCTCATACGTCTGACAAGAGATAGCCGCATGAGTCCGGCCCCTGGTCCCGCCCACAACCTAACCATAGGCACAGAGCAAGGGACTCGCCATGTCATGCTCCACAGCGAGGGAGGGGCTGGACCACGCTGGAAGTCAGCTCATCAAAGACAAAAGGGTCACACCCACAGGGTCTGTGTGCTGGGGAGAGCATGTTTCTACACTTATTGGGTGGCATGAGCGTGAAGAAGACCTCTCTGAGGCTCAGTTTACCCACCTGACTTTAGGGGACATGTACCTCACTGAGTCACCGTGCGGATCACAGGGCATAAAGCACATGAACTGCTTCTCTGAGGTGGGCCCAGCTTTGGCCCTGGCCTGCAGGCGATCTCAGTTGGGGGTGGTCAGCTGCCCGTGCCTACCTCCATGGGGTTGACGGTGATGGTCAAGGCAGAGTCGTCCCAGTCCATCTCGTTCTCCTTGCCCGTGTCCTGGTCCCGCATGGTTCGCTGATGTGCCGCCCGGATCCGGAACACTCCCAGGATAATCATGAAAACCAAGAAGCTGACACACACCACAATCACAACGGTTGCGGTGCTGGGGACGACTGCAATGAGATTGAGAGATGTCATCAACCCAGAAGGTGCCCTCGACCTCCTCTGCTCCATACACTGAATGTGTCACCTGACCCCCAGGGGAGAGGGAGAAATATTAGAAAAGTTGCAGCACAAGGTTCAAATCTGGGTCTGGCTACTGTGCCCCATGGCCGTGGGCGATGAGTGTGCCCTGTGTGTGTCAGCTTCTGCGTGTGTGCTGTGGGACAACAGCTGGACTGGCTGGGGGCTGCTCTGAGCGGGGCTGGGCTCTGGGCAGCAGGGGGAGGGCGTCCCCCCGGACCCTGCTCCAGGGTCTCGGGCTTCTCCCCACAGCCCTACCTGCGAACGGGTGGGGGTTGGCCAGGTTGTGACCCGAAAGGTCAACGAAGGAGCGATGCTCGGGGTGAACAAACTGTGGCTGAGCAGCCATGTGGTTGGCGTGTTCCACGGGGTTGGCCGTGTGGATCACGTTCACCTGCAGCAGAGACAGAAAGGCCGCCTGAATGTGCCCGAGAGATGGAAAAGCAGTTCAGACGTGAACATGCCCAGAGACCCCCAAGGTGGGTCCCGGACCAGTGCTGGGAAGCGGATAAGAAAAGGACCGAAGAGCATCAGGGGTAAGCACTTAGAAACTGCTGTAACAACTGGTATTGTCACACGTCCAAGAAACAGATCACTGTTCTGAGAGTTTGTTTTCATTGTAGTTTATGGAAGAATCTGTCCACAGCCTGGGAAAGCAGACATCACTACTAGTCCTTTACCACAGGTCGCTTGAGAAACACGCACAGACCATTTCCCCTTTTTTCCAAAAAACCACAGCCACATGAGAAAGCAGAGATCATAACCATCTATTTCCTTTCGAATCTGTTTACCCTTTGGCTCCAACAAAACACTCGTCGACCTTCAGCACCGTGAGCTTAGCACGCACAGCCATGAGCTCACAGCAGCCGTGTTCAACTGCCGAGAATAACCTTGGGTCCATTTCTCCAGACCACAGAAGCCCTGGGTGATAAAGGAGCTGCTGTCTAGGTCTGATGAAGATTTCAGAGCAGGACGAGTGCCCTCTGGCCACCGTGGCCTGAGTCACCACTGCCAGGCCCTGCGTCAGCACCCCTCGCCCCGGGCCAAGGATTTATGCACAGCGGGCCAGTCGTGTACAACTACAAAGAACTTTCACTTCCCTGGAACTGCTCTCTAAAGCAGTGTCCAAGCTCAACAAACAACCTTGTCCCCACCCCTGAGGCATCCCCTGCCACTTGCTCTTGATCACTTCCCTCCAAACGTCCCTTGGGCTCCGACCCTCAACTCTTGGGCTGAGGCAGCCCGTGAGAGTGGAGCCCTGTGCTGGACCCCAGCCTGCCCCATGTGTAAGCCTGACCTGCAGCCGCCCCCAAGCTGGAAAAGGCTACCACTCCAGACGAACGCAAACAGCTGCACCATGACTGCTCTCCACATCGGTGTCTGCAAACATTAGGGCTGTGAGAGGGGCACTCAGTTGCAGCGCTGCTGGCCCTTACCTCCACCTGAAATTCATTGCTGACGTAGCGGCCATTCAGCTCGGAGCAGACGAGCTTGAACTTCCGGTCAAGCAAGGACCTGGTGTGCCAGTTCCGATAGCGCAGGAGGTGCAAAACCTCCTCGTAGCTGGCCATGCTGTCCACGCCTGCGGGGGAGAAGGTGACAAGATTGCCCGGTGGCTGAAGTTAGGAACGTGGGCAGGGCCGGGGCCATGGGCAAAGGAAGCCTGGAGTCGGGCACGGGGGTCAGCTGAGCCAACGGGTCACATGTTTTGGCTTTGTAGTTGTGGGACTGAATTGGGCAAGTGTGCAGGGGGGGCATTTTTCCCTAGAGGGGGCTGTACCATCACATGCCTAACTTCTCCCCCCTTATAAGGACGGGGATAAGGCAGTGCCTGCACTCCCCTCCTCCCCTCCCGGAGAACTGTGCAGCCCACGCTGATCCTGGCCGACACTCTCCTTTCCCAGCTCCTCCAGGACACTCTAGGTTCTGAGACGGAAGGAGGCAGGGGGCTGAGTTTGAAGCTTTTGCTCTCCCAGTCCGGCCTGCCCCAGCCTCTCGGCCTGCTGTACCTCCTCTCACCTGTGAAAATCATGCCCAGATCAGAGCTGCTCACTTCAATGCCCTTCTGCTGCAGGTGGGCCATGTCCACCTCCAGGCTCTCCTGCTCTGGGTTCAGTTCCTCTCCCTCCACCGTGACCTCGCAGGTATCCAGGTCATGCACGATCTCCTCAGACACCAGGGACTCTTGAACTGCAAAAACGGCCCACCCAGAAATAGCAGAGGCTGCGGAGCCCAGGGACGCTGGTCACACTCGAGGGCCTGCCGGCTCATCCTCAAACTCACAGAGCCCTTTGAAGGACCAATGACAGAGGTACTGGAGAGTCACTTTCAAGAATCGGGGGAACTTTATGAGTCTAGGAGGACCAGCTACTGGGAAGGCCTGAGAACAGGGGGACCCAGTTCTCTGTGGGCTGACCAGGCAGCAGGAGCACGTCCCCAGGTGCAGGAGAGCAACAGCATCTCCTGTAACAGCCTCAATCCTCAACTTCCTCAAGGCACATCTCAGATTCTGACGTCACACCAGAAAAAGATGAAAGGGCCCTCCCAGTGGGTTTCCAAAGATCACCTAGCCCAAGGGCCAGATTCCAGAAGCAGACCCAAGAACAGCATTAAAACATTAAAACCTCCCAAATC